TGGAGATGCTCTTTAACTCCAAACACATTTTTCTTGAGGGCAGGGGGGTACAGTAATTAATTTCAGCATGGGAGGAATCTTTCTTTTTACTTATCCTTTCTGTCACCTCCCCACACCCCCATTCCCTCACCTCCCTCCCTGGGTGACCTCACTGTCAATTCATATGGGCTCCAAAGCATTTTGGCTTGGGCCTAGTTAGTTCAGCCTCACAAGTGCACGGGAAGAACTTTAAACCTCGGTGGGGAATTAAACAGTTTTGCTAACTCAGAAGATGAACCACCTCTGAATGTCAGTTCCAAGCCAGTATGCCTGGCTCTCTATCAAGAGACACAAAAGCCATTCAGCTGAGTTGCCAAAACCAATGACAACAACTTGTGATATTTTTTAAAGACTTCACCACTTTTGCAATCATCACTCCTGTTTTTTCATCTCATCGCAATTCATGGAAATGTGTCTTTTATCTTCTTTTTTTTTTTTGCGGTAGGCGGGCATCTCACTGTTGTGGCTTCTCCCATTGCGGAGCACAGGCTCCGGACGCGCAGGCTCAGCGGCCATGGCTCACGGGCCTAGCCACTCCGCGGCATGTGGGATCTTCCCGGACCGGGGCACGAACCGTGTCCCCTGCATCGGCAGGCGGACTCTCAACCACTGCGCCACCAGGGAAGCCCGGAAATGTGTCTTTTATAGACAAACATCAAACTGAAGATTTCAGGGCTCTTACCTTAAGTTATTAAATGATCTTCATGCCCTAGCTCAAAGAAAAATGAAGCTCCATTCTAAATAAAATAATTACTCAGATCTATCTCCACAAAACATATGATGTAACCAGCTGTGTTTGTGTTTGAGATTTCTAGGATGAAAAGCACTCTAGATGGATCGTGATCAATGAAGACATAATAGGGCTTCCCGGGTGGCGCAGTGGTTGAGAGTCCGCCTGCCGATGCAGGGGACACGGGTTCGTGCCCCGGTCCGGGAAGATCCCACATGCCGCGGAGCGGCTGGGCCCGTGAGCCATGGCCGCTGAGCCTGCGCGTCCGGAGCCTGTGCTCCGCAACGGGGGAGGCCACAACAGTGAGATGCCCGCCTACCGCAAAAAAAAAAAAAAAAAAAGACATAATAACAGTGAACTGCTCAGAGCAGTTTTCGCTGGACAGATAAACAAAATAATAGACAAAGCATTGCAAACGAAAACTAAAATAAACCTCAAACCAAGGAAAGGACTTTTAAGACAGGTAGTCCACGGATTTAAAAAATTCTAAAATAAAGAAGACTTGTTTACATCAAGTTTGCATATATGCTAGTGTTTTGTTATGGAGGTCCTTTATCTACGTGAATTTCGTGCATCCAATTGATGAGTACAATTTTTAATTAAATAAAATAGTAGCGTCCATATTAAAAAGATCATAATTTATAAACTAAATATTTTCAGGTGCAGTAATTTGTCTGCGCTTCAAGCCCAAAGGAAAGGATGCTCTACTTTTGGCACACCTATGAGTAACTAGATTTCCAGATAGGTCAGAGGGAAAAAACTGAGTTAGCAGCTATTAAAATGATCCCCCCCCACTTCCCCTGCCACGCCTTTCCAAAGCACTCTCCCTGCAAACTCAGAGTGGCACCATCTTTCCAGTTCCCGGGAGTAGTGAATCACCCTCAGTCTCTCCAGCGCCTCATCCAGTTAGAGGAGAGCCTGCTTCTTCAGAACTGTCTAGGAAACAAGGGTCACCCTCGATTGATTCCAGTCATCCCAGAGCATGGCACTCCCCCAAATCGCTGGATTTCGTGCTAAAACCCAGAAAAAAAGTGATCCGGTTGGAGGGGGGAGGGGAGAGGAAGAGTATGAATGTATACGGAGTAACGTAAAGGAAAGAAAGGGCGTGGGAGTGGAGAGAAAGATCTGCTGGAAGCGGAAAGAAGGAAAGCCACGTGGTAGCCGACTCGAACCCCAGGACAAACGGGCGTTGTCCAGCCAGGGACTGTGAGCCTGGGAAGCGTTTGCCATTTGCACGCTGCTCCTCGCGGACACTGGGTGGCGCTCGTGGTAAAGACTTGCACTACTCTTACGGCCCGTTTCCCCTCCACCGCCTCCCGCCCTTTGCAAAATTCGGCTACTAGGAGATGAAATTACTCACATTCTTCCTACGTGTCGCCGTGAGGAGAGCACTTCTGGAGAAGTTTGAAGCCGTGGGGCTGTTTCTCCGCGGCTGGGCCTGTCAGTGGGTTTTGAAAGAAGTAACAGCGTCCGGTCCGCTGGTCTTAAAACAAAGTTCTGAACCTTGGCATCACAAGCACCACAGTACCAGCAGAAGTTGCTACCCTGACAGCCGGGATACCCAACACGTGTGCGCCCAGAGTGTGGGTCCGAAGCGCCGGCCAGGCCCGGTGCCAGCCGCGCACAAAGCCACATTGACTCTAACGTGAAAGGAAATGGGACCATATTGTGATCAGACTCGGGCTCCTTTTAACTTAGCGCTCCCTCTCCCTCCCGCTTCCTTTAAGGAAAGGAAGGGTAGGGGGAAGTGGGGTCAACCTAGAAAAGAAGCAGGACAAAGCAAGAAAGTCGATGCTCTGGACCTTCAGAGACACACTCAGGTGTGGAGGCCTCACCCAGCAGAAGCCTTTGCACAAGCGGCTCGGAGTCTGGCGTGAGGGCCACCACTTTAGGAACGGAGAAAAAGAAGTTAAATCCTTCCTTTTCACCCCACTCCTTTTTGTCTTGTGTAAAACATGGGAAAGAATGTCTTTTTTTTGGGGGGGGGGTCGGAGGAAAAGTGAAATTTATCAAGGTCTAGAATAATTTAACTTTGTAACACTGTGTTTTCAACCAGATTTTGAACTTCTAAATTTTGTCCAAATTCTGCAGCTTCCAATCTATCCAGATTGGAATCTGCCTTCTCAGCAAGGTCTAAGGACATTGCTATGAACACCCAATTTAGCATAACGGTATTGACCTCATTTCCCGAAACGTAATAACTTTTAAATCTATAAAAAGTAGAGAGTGCCAGGGTGGGGCTGCGGGGATACGGTGGGGTGCTGCGGAAGGCCGCCTGCTCCCCGAACCCGGAGGCGCCTTGAACCATCCCTGGCATTGCTTTGGGGAAGCGATTCGTGTAATTAAATGGCAGGATGCGTGTAAGGTGACTCGATGGGCGCTGGGAACTCCGGAGCAGAGGCCAGGGCTGCAAGCCTGCTGCGGTCTGTAGTGTTTCCCCGAAGCCCTGTGGTCCTTCTTAGCCAGAACCTAGCGGGCGAACGGCCGTGCCGACCTCCATAGCATGGGGTGAGGATGGGCGGACAGCCTTGGCTCTGTTTAGCTGAGCTTCTATCTCAGAGGAGTCTGGGGCGGCACAGGCCGCAAGCAGGGACTCGGGTGGGTGTGGGAGGAGGGGCGCTGTGGACCCTGTGACACACACCTTCCCTTCCCTGTTTGCGCCGGAGCTGAAGTTGCCCCTGGAGGGCTATGCGACAATAGCTGTGGTTTTACGGCGCCCAGAGGCAGGGAGTTGGTGCACATGTGGCTGCTCGGCTTTGGAGTTTCGGAGCGAGGCTGGCCTCCTGCTCCGAGTTCCGGACCCGCCCCCACCCCTCGGCTCTCCTGCTAGGCTGTTTTGGGCCAAAATAGCTCCACAGCCAAAGTGAGGCTAAACTAAGACTAGACACAACTAATGTGGACGTTTTCTTCTTCGGTTGGGTCGGGGGTGGGGCGGGGAAGGGATGAGGCGGTGATGAGAAGCCAGACTGTTCCACCCTGGATGTCGGGTGGAGCTCCCAGGTTCCGGGTCTTAGAACTCCTGTAGGAAGGTGCTGGGAGGGCCCAAATCAGGATCCAGCTCCTGGACTGTCCTATTTGAGGGGAGAGGAAGTGGGTAGCGGTAAACTGACTAATGTTAAATTTCTAAACTCCCAGCTAGATCACCACTAGAGCAAGAGTGACACTTTGTGAAAGGCAAACTCTGGATCCCAAATACCAAGTGTTTGATTCCTGAGCCTTTTCCTTTGCATATGAGCTAAGATGCTTTCACTGCAAGAAATAAAGGGATTGAGGGTACAGGAATCCGGACCCTGGGAAATGGAAAAGCAGGCCCTCAGTGCCACCTCCATGGAGCTGGAAGAGGGAAATCCATGCTCTTCACCCAACTTCCCCAAAGAACTTTTATCTGTCTACTTCCCAGTGTTCTTGGGGTTCCCATTAGTCCCGTGAGGACAAGTCATAAGTAGACCATTCACTTTTGCAGGAATCTTTGACCACTGAACACAGAATTACTGATCCTCTATTCCAACAGCATCCAAATAGACTAGAATATCAAACAAAGTGTGGGGCTGCCCGCTCCTCTTGGGGACCAGCAATTTGGGAGTCATTAAGTTATTTGTGCTTAAGACAGCGATTTTTTAAGTCGTTGTAGGGATTTGGGCTTGCAGGCACTCTCTGCCATTAAGAGTGCATTCTTGAGCATCCTTGTCTCGCCCTTGTCTGAGAAATAACTCATCTCGGGCAAAGGAAGTTCTTGCTGCAAATTTGTCTGTCTTTTCCCAAATCACAAATTTTCAACACATGTAAATTACAGCTTGGCTCCCAGTACCCCACTAAAAAGATTGTTCTCATCAGTTTCTTCTCACCTTTATCCCACATCCCTGCTCCCCACCCCGCTTTGATTCCCCATTTCAATATTAGTGTTCAATCCACATTCGCCCCTGATGCAGCTCGAGGCTGGCTGGGAGGTGCAGAGCCTGGAAAGACCGTGGTCGACCTCATCCCCAAAACATGTGCATTTTCTGAGGCTGCTGATTGGAACACATTGTCTCCAGACAGTACAGAGCAGGGTGTTGGCGCTTCTGCGTTGTCTTTAGTATTCACTGAAAACAGATTGCCTGAGGACCCCCTCTTCCTCCAGCAAGCAACAACACACACACACACACACACACATACACACACTCGCCCCCCCCCCTTCATTTTTTCTCCCTCTTTTTTTTAAGCAATGCTTTGTTGTGCTAAAACTAGTTGGACGAGTTAGGGTGTTGCTGCTGCTCCTGAGGCCCTGGCCAATGGAACCCGATCCACCCCGCTGTGCGTAAGCGCGCAATTAAGGATTTAACCAAGGCTGTGCTGCGCCTCAGCCAGCAGTCAGCCTGCCGGAGACAGAGCCTCCAAGACTCCCAGCCTCCTCCTCGCCGCCGCCGCCGCCGCCTCTCCTCCTCCTCCTCCTCCTCTTCCTCCTCCTCCCTCGCTCCCACAGCCATGTCTGCTTAGACCAGAGCAGCCCCACGGCCAACTCGGGCAGCCGCCGCCGCAGAGCAGCAAGGACAACCGCCGCCGCCAGCGAGCGATGACAGGAGTGTTTGACAGAAGGGTCCCCAGCATCCGATCCGGCGACTTCCAAGCCCCGTTCCAGACGTCCGCAGCCATGCACCATCCGTCTCAGGAATCGCCAACTTTGCCCGAGTCGTCGGCTACCGATTCCGACTACTACAGCCCCACGGGGGGAGCCCCGCATGGCTACTGCTCTCCTACCTCGGCTTCCTACGGCAAAGCGCTCAACCCCTACCAGTACCAGTACCACGGCGTGAACGGCGCCGCCGGCAGCTACCCCGCCAAAGCTTACGCCGACTACAGCTACGCCAGCCCCTACCACCAGTACGGCGGCGCCTACAACCGCGTCCCGAGCGCCACCAGCCAGCCAGGTACGGGGGCTGGGGGTGGGGACCGACACAGGGGGAGCCAGGATCAGGGAGGAGCGAGATGCGGTGGGAGATCCGGGGCCGCGCCGTCCACTGCAGCGCGGGCTCACCCGGCGGAAGGGAGTGGGGGCCGGGACTCTGCAACCACGAGAGGTTCCCGAGCCAGCATTTTAGAGATTCTTAGTAGAGGAAGCCCTAGGGGGAGTTCGGTCCAGCGTCTCTCCTCTCTGGTACCCTCGGGCGACCCCTCAGCCGCTGGATTCCCAGCTTGCCCGTTCGGAAGCCGGCGAAGCTGGAAAGAGGGTAGGGGTAGAGAGAGGAAGAATCAACCAGCCTGAGCGGCGTTTACGTAGTGAACGGAAGGTTATTTGCTGGATGTTAGGGTAAGCGTGCTCGAGGAGTGGGAGTGGAAGGCTGCCTCAAAGACTCTGCGGGGATTAGTGTGAGAGCAGCCGCGAGCCAGCGTGGTGCGGGTACCCGGAGCGCGCGGGGCGGGGTGGGGGCCGGAGAGCTGTAGCCCGCCAGAGGAAGAGCGCGCCGAGAGCCTTGCGGCTTCTCCAAGGCATTTCCCAAAACAAAAAGCCATTTGAAGGCGGAGGAGGGTTGCTGAAGGGTCACGATATTGGAGCAATACTTTTTTCCTTCTCCCTTAGATGCCTACAATTTGTTTCTCCTTCCCATCTCCTTTTGCATCTGCCTTGAAACTTAGTTGGAGAGTTTAAGAGGGTTAGTGAGCTTGGGCAGTAAGAGAGGTATGAGGTCTCCTAGGAGAGGTTTTGCTGGTCAGGTTTGATCTCTTCCCACCAGCACATTAATAATCCTGCTAATATTAGCATCCCCTGCTCTGGCAGAATCGAGACCACAGCCCTCATCCTCCACCCTTCCTCTCCTAGGAGCTCGCCACACACACACCGCGCACACACACACACACACACACACACACACACACACCGAGGAGAGGTTCTCCGCCCCTTGCAGAGATGGGCACTTTTGATAAGATGGTACTTTTGTGAAGGGGGACTTGTGGCCCCAGGGCACGTTTGTAAAACACGCGTTCCGAGAGTCTTTTTTCTCCCAAGTCTATACTCACAATTCTGCTAAATTCGTCCTGACCTGCCGCCCCTTTCCTACGAAAACACCCCACCGCGGATTCCTTTTCAAATTGTATTGGAACTATAACTCCTGATAAACTTTAAAAGACTGCGGGGAGGGGGGGGCGGGTGGAGGGGGGAGGCGTGTCTTCGTTCCTTTCAGTGTCTCTGAACTTCGTACATAAATGAAAGATTTTTTTTCTTTTGGCCAAGAACTTATTAAGTCTATTTGTAAAAGAAACCAGACACATCTGTGCCCTCGCAGATCTGCAGGGAGATTATGGGGGCTGCATAATCGGCCCTCTGTCTGCGGCGGCTCGGACGGCTTGCTGCTGAATTGAAGGAGCATAGTTTGCTTGTGGGTCTTTGAACTTTGAAGACCTCGGTTAGCGTCTTCCCTGCCCATGCGTCTGGCCTCTGCGGGCGCCCGAACAGACGCTGACATAAGGGGGGCCGCGGCCCGGGGCCTCCCCCTTGAATCCCCGGGAGCGGCTGGCCAGACTCACCCAAGAAACGTCGGTGAACACAGGGTGGGCTTGAAAACGAATCCGGGTGAAGCAGGAACCGCTGCAAGGGCTAAATCCCGGACGCCGAGAAAGGAGTTTTGCTGTACAAGGCGCCTTGCACAAACCCAGGAGAACCTGAATAAACAGAGTAGGGAATTAATCAGGCTACCTGGATTTTCCATGATGGGGAGAGAGGGGTCTCGTGAAGCAAAGGTGGTGATATGGGGAAAAGAGAGTGAAGGCTGCGTGGTAATAAATTCAAGGACTGTATTTGCAAGTTCTGCAAAAGGGCCATTGTCTGCCGACAACTCTAACCGGGTCTGTTTTGATTATTTAGAGAAAGAAGTGGCCGAGCCCGAGGTGAGGATGGTGAACGGCAAACCAAAGAAAGTTCGTAAACCCAGGACTATTTATTCCAGCTTTCAGCTGGCCGCGTTACAGAGAAGGTTTCAGAAGACTCAGTACCTCGCCCTGCCCGAACGCGCCGAGCTGGCCGCCTCCCTGGGACTGACGCAAACACAGGTAAATCCGGCCGCGGCTGGGCCAGAGCCCCGCCTGGGCTGCAAGCCTGGCTTGGCCGCGGGGTTCGGTCCCGGCGGACTGGAGCCGATTCAATAGGGCCCGCGAGAAACTCACAGAGAGAAAGACACTGACCCCGCGCCCTTCCCTCTAGGAGTCAGGCCGGGTGTCCCCGCCGTGCGACGGTAGGGATGGGATGGAGACCGCGTTCATCCCGAGATGCAAGCCCCACCCCTTCGAGCCTCGGGCGTTGAGGGGCCGGTTTCCTAGGCTGGAAACAAGGGGAGGGTTGTTTCTAGGACACTCTCGAAGCTTTGAGAAACTGTCTGGTTCTCTGCACAATGCAGAGCCTCTCGGGATGAGCGGGGCCCGGCGGGCTCTCGGTGGTCTTAGGCCGCGCGCAAGCCGGGAACGTCGCCTGCAGCCGGAAGAGCTGACGGGTCACGCCCTGCGCCTGCGGAGCTTTAGGCCGCAGCAGCCTGACCTTCCGAGGTGGGAGGGCGCGGTTGTACGGGGAAATCTGCCCTGGATCGTCCCGTTCCCTTCACTCCCACCCCAGCCCCACGGGGGTCTTTGGAAGAATAAAGAATGTCATCGGAGCCGAGGAGGGAGTGAAAGGGGTCGGTCGGGAAACGGGGAGACCGCTCCTTGTCCGCCACACTCGCGCGCGCGCGCGTAGCCAGTCCCGCGCCCCTAGCTCACCGGGCCCTGGCGGTTGTTCTGGAGACGTTCGTGGCGCCGCTTTTCAGGCGCTCCGCGCAGGCCTACCCGTGAGCGCTCGCGGCCGCGGACACTCGCGCCCCCTCCCCCGGCCCCAACAAAAGACAAAAGCCTGGGGGTCCTGCCCCAGCAGCAGCCAACAGGGCACCCTCTGGGGCCCGAGATGCAGGCTTTGCCCCCGGCCCAGCCCCTTGACCGTGGGCCGAGAGCTGCGGGGAGACGCCAGGGCCTGGCCTTCTGGCGGCCGAAATCGCCTCCAGTTGCCACCCTGGGGGAGGCGCGCGGGCAGCCTCTGAGTGTCCCGGTAACGTGTGCCTTTGTTCCCCCACCCAGGTGAAAATCTGGTTTCAGAACAAAAGATCCAAGATCAAGAAGATCATGAAAAACGGGGAGATGCCCCCGGAGCACAGCCCCAGCTCCAGCGACCCTATGGCGTGTAACTCGCCTCAGTCTCCGGCGGTGTGGGAGCCCCAGGGCTCGTCCCGCTCGCTCAGCCACCACCCTCATGCCCACCCTCCGACCTCCAACCAGTCCCCCGCGTCCAGCTACCTGGAGAACTCGGCTTCCTGGTACCCGAGCGCGGCCAGCTCAATCAATTCCCACCTGCCGCCACCCGGCTCCTTACAGCACCCGCTGGCGCTGGCCTCCGGGACACTCTATTAGACCGGCCGCTTTCTCTTGCTGTCTTTTTTGGGACTACTGTGTTTTTGCTGTTTTAGAAAATCATTTAAAAAAAAAAAAGGAATTCATATGGGGAAGTTTGGAAAACAGAAACAAAAAAGATTCATGTGTAAAGCTTTTTTTGCATGTAAGTTATTGCATTTCAAAGGACCCCGTCCCCCCTTTTTTACAGACGAACTTTTTTTTGCGCAACTGTGGACACTATCAATAGTGCCTTGAAATCTATGACCTCAAATTTTCAAAAGACTTTTTTCAATGTTATTTTAACCATGTAAATAAGTGTAGATAGAAGAATTAAACTGTATATTCTGGATAAATAAAATTATTTCGACCATGAAAGCAAAATGCTTCTAAAATATACTCCATTTGCCCCACTTATAATGGGCTAGTGACATTTTGTGCAGGCAATTAAAGGAAGACAAACTCTGCACAGATCCAACAAGGTAAAAGGGAAGACAGAAACTGGGGGCTGTGTAGATGCAGAACTGTAGATGTGTATACGTTGGATGCTGTACTTTATATGTCTATATACATATGTGGCCTGTTTAGAGTACTGCCACATAATATACATTTAGGTGTTTTTTTGGCCTAACCACAAAAACGTTTAGATAATTTTAAGTTTAACCCCAAATTGTTTCAGGTAGAAAGTAATGCTGGAATCTAAATACAGCCCTCCCTGTGTGTAAGAAAGCAGCAGAAATCCCTCAATAACCACTCTGAATTCTAAGCTCAAAGCAATTATGGTGGAGACTGCCCCCCTCCCCATCAGCCTCTGTGTATTGCCAGAGCAATTAGACAAATTACACTCCCTTCAAAGGGAGCTTCCAGAGATAAGAAAATGAAAAAAAAGAAAAAGAAATTTCCCCTTCTATTACATTTTTTTAAAAACCTGAAATGTTTGCAGTGTGGCAAATGGTAGTGCCTTGAACTCAGTGTATGATTATAAATGTATCTGAGCTCTTTCACAAGAGGAAAGGATCACAGGACTTGAAAACAATGATGGACCTAAATCAGTAGGCCAAGCAGGGCATGTGTGTGTAGGGGGGATGCATTCGTTCTGCCAAGAGAGGGAATTATGAGGTGGAGGAAAGGAAGGAAAGTATTGTGGCCCCGTGTTGATTTCATATCATGTGAGACAATATTCCAAACATAAATTACTTCCTTCATCCTCTTTACCGCTCTGGTTTTTTCAGGAAGGAGCTCTCTCTGCTTTGCTTTTACATAAGACAGTGGCATAGCAGGTTCCAAACGATGGGAAACTGCATCTGTTTGCAGGGATTTCTCTTTTGTGAAGGCTTCTCTGGGGCAGAGAGGAAGGACTTGCAGCAACCCTGGCCTCTGTCGCGTCCTTCTCCCTGCACCTCTGCATACAGACATCAACAGTGTGACCAGAGCTACAGCCCGGGTCTAGAGCTGTACTCCCAGGCCTGAACTGTGGGTGTCTTTTTGACTGTCCTTTAGTTCGCCTGACTGTTTCTTTGGGATACCAAGGGAAATCGTTTGTTGGAAATTACAAGATGCGTGAGATATATTTAACAGCTAGGAAGTCAGCAGCAATAAATTTGACAAAATAGTTTTCTTGGGCGGGGGTGGGGGCGTGGGGGGAAGATTAGAACGTAAAAATTTACATCCTGTCATCTGAGGACTTCTGAGAAGGTTCTTCCAGGATTGGGAGACTAGACCTGAAAAGGCACGCTGTGTGCCCTGAGGGGAATTTACCTGTGTGCTCTCTCTCCTTCTCTTTCTCTCTCATTCTCCTTTCCTCTCCTCGTCTCCTTCCTTCTCTTCCCCTTTCCTTTCTAGCCTGCCAATTTAGAAAGACCTTGAGGGGATTTGATGGTTTGCCGGTCTTGAGAGGCACCCTGCCTGGCTCCGGGGCGGCGCATGGGCCGCGGCCAAGGCTGTGGACCCCTCCTCCTCCCCCACCCCCAAAGCGCTTCTCTTCTCGAAGCTTCTCGCCCCCACCCCACCCCTTCGTTCCCCTCCAGCCCTCCTTTCTCTGAAGAAGGTCCGGATGGCGACGCGCTTGGGGGGAAGCCGTGCGGAGCCCACTTTGTTTTCTGCGCTGGCAGAGAACAGGAGGATGAGGGGGAAAGGTAGAGGGATCCATTTCCTGCTTTCCATTCTTACTTGTAAGGCGTGCGGGAGTTTCCATTGCACCGAGAGCCAGCGCTTTACGTCTGGTGAATCCGGCTGAGAGAAACGCCCCCCCCGCCCCGCCGCGGTTTCCGAGCGCCAGCTTCCCTCTGCGCTGGCACCCCTCGCCGCCCCCGGGTGCGTGTTCGCGAAGGCTGGAGGGGGCGCACCCACTGGGGGCCTGAGTGGCAAGAATGTGCTTGGAGCACACTCTTTACCTTTCTACACGTGGAGAGGGCAGATATTTTTCCAGCCGTCCCCATCACCTCCCCTCCTCTCTCCTGCTTTGAAAAGGGGATCCCTTCACTACCACCCCCGATCGGCCGGCGCGGTCAAGCGGAGGGAAGCGCGAGTTCGGACTCTTCCCGGAAAGAAGAGGGAAGCTCTTCTTTAACGACCACCCCGCCACCCCCAGCCTTGACACTGCTTGTTGTTAAGGACACCAGAGCCTCGTTGCGACGCGGGCACGCATGACGCCGCGCGGACAGACTAGGTTTCAGGATTCCTTCCCTTGTGCTAACCTCACTTCTTCCACTCGCAATGGCCTCTTCTCTCTCGCGGTTTTTTTTTTTTTTTAACTTGGTCCGGGAGCCGTGGACGAAAATATTCTGGCAAACCAGTCTGCAGCGGGTTTTCCCTGGCACCGCGGGGATTCTCCCTGGGGAATTTAACTCCCTGCAGTCCTGCGCCCAAGGATGTAAAAATAACAGATCCTCAGCAAAGGCTAAAAATATCCGTGTGATGTTCCTCTCCCTTGCCCTGGCTTCCACCCTCCCTCCTTCTCACCCTTGTTTATTCCTATATCTAATATAAACATGTACCACTCCCCAGCATAGTCCCTGTCTGCCCGACCCCACTCTCCTGACCTCTGCCTGCCCCTTCCGGTCCCCACTTGCCAAGCTCTCAGTCTAGTGCTCCCGAGATGTCAAGCTCACCCCGAGATTTAATTTTCTTTTCCGCGGGCTTCTTCACCGCGCCCCCCATACTCCCAAGCTCCTATCCCCATCTTCAGACCACCTCACAAAGCCCAGGAGGCCGAGGGCATGCTGGCAGCCAGGGCCAGTATGATTCTTTGGTGCCCTGTCCGCCTCCTGGGCCATCGTGTAAAAGAGCAGATAAATTGGCCTTTGTTTGAGGCTCGCGTTGGGCTAGGCGGATTTCTGCTCTTACTCCCCCGCCCTTTTTCCTGGCGGCCACCTCCTTGTGGAACAGGGGGCGGCCTGGGGAGCCGAGAGAAGCCGCATTCCTGTGGGTGCCAGGCGGCTCCAGTGCTGAGCCACAGGGCCTGAGACACACACACAGAGGAACCCGCAGACCTCGTTGCCCTTGATCTCGCTCCCTCTCTCTCCCTCCGGTTGGGGCACCCACCCGGGAGCCTGTCCACCCACACTCGGATCCACCCAGGTCTCGGCCTCGGGCAGGAGCGTGTTGACCCGCACACCGACACACGCACGCACACCCTCCCGATGACACAGGCACAGGCTAGGCCGGGATCTCCCCGCCCATGCCAATCCTCTCTCTCCCGCCCCTTATCCCACAATCCCAGACGCGCCGGCTGGCCTCCTTTGGCTTCTTTGATCCCACCGGACGCCCCACGGCTCGCGCCGTCCCGGCCGCGCCGTCCTGGGAGTCGCCGATAGCGCGCCAAGGCCAGGCGGTGCTCGGCTCCTCCCAGCGCGCTCTGAAGCTTACTCCGACCTTGACACCACTCGGCCTCCAGAGCTCCCAGCCCTAAGCGCGAGAGATGCCTCCTGGAACGCTGCCCCTTGCCCCTCTCACGCCCCCCAGCGCCTCCTTTTATTCGAAGAGAGGGACCTTTAGGGCTCCCCAACCGTCACCCCCTACCCGCCCCGTCCCGCAACCCCTCGGATCGCGCACCTCCCGCCGGCCGCTGGGATCCCGCCAACCCCGAGCTCTCGAGCCCTCCCCGGAGGCACGCCCTGAGGACAGACGCCCTCCGGCACCTCTGGGAAGCGCGCCACACCGGCGGATCCGCCTGCGGTCACCCCTCTCCTCCGCCCTTAAGCACCCCCTCCCACAGCGGCTGGGCGGAGGTTCCCGCCTCCCGGGAGGTTGGGGAGGGGGCGCTGCGGCTCGCGCTCCCAGGTTGCCTGCGAGTGCTGCACACTGTACTTGGTTTTTCCATGGTCCCAGCGAACTCTGGGCCTCGAAAACAGCCCAAATAGTGGTAGCACATATGGGATTGGCTACATATTTTTCTACGCAGCCCCGTTCCCCCACCCCCGCCCCACCCCCGCCGCATCCGCGTTTTCTTTTGCATCTGACAAGCTTTAGGTTCCCCTGTGGTACAGGGCAGAAAGTATACACACAAGAGTATCGACTGCGGAGGGGCGGGGGAAGACTTCCCTTTCAATCATCCAGGGCTGCCGGCTGTAATGTAATAACCTGTTTTATAGGTCGAGCTCTAACCGTAAAGATAGGAACCGAGGGAATTTACATGAATCTCTCTTTAAAAGAGAAGAGAGTCCTGATTTGCAGCCATTGTTTCTGCTCTTTTGTTCGCTGGGACTCCGTATTTACTTCTGATTTATGGGGATCCGAAAGAGTCTCTTTGCCAAAAACGCACGTATTATTGAGTCTGTTCCACATCCTAAACCAAAATTTATATAAAACCGTGAAATACCACACATTACGACCTTTCGCCACAGGAAGGGGAAAAAATGGCTTCATAACATCATTCTACACACACACACACACACACACACACACACACACACACACACACACA